GCTAACATTTATGGAAAAACAAATTCCGCAAAGTCCACATAGAGGGAAGACTATTTTTTGTTCACAAAACTTAACCATAGCTGTAGGACAATCACAGATATTAGGCAGCTGAATACTAAAACGTATTCAAAGCTTATTCCTAAAATTTCTGACAATCACCCTGATCATAACCATGCAATGTCCCACTACTCTTAACAAATCAATTAAATTGAATGTGCAGCTAAATACAGTCAACTCTTGATAATCCTTAGCACGGATAACCTGCCACAGATAAGCCACACCATGGATATTAGTCCAGGCTACTACATTCTGCTAAATGCAACTGTATTGTTTCCAAGATCTGTGCAAGTGCAGGAGCAGAATGACCATTTTCACATAGTGTGAAGGGACTGAACAAACATTTGCAACCAGACCTTAGCTGCTTCTGTTCAGGGTCAGTTCGGGTCTCTGACGATGGAAAGCACATGACGGACACTGAAGCAGACTAGGACATGTTCTGCTCAAATCCAGACAGAATTATCTCTTTGGGCTCGCTACAGGTTCTGATTACAGCGACAGCCGCCACCATCACCAAGCCAAGAACAGGCAGGCATCTGTGTACTCTCCAGTGTACCAAAAAAGGTTATGAGCAACGAAAAATGCCATTTCCGTTTGGCACTTCACATGAACTCTTTAGTCCTTCCAGATCCAGACACCCTAGCAACTTGGTGCAGAACCATCTGCATGAGTTTCCAACGCTAAGTAGAATGTTTCCACAACACTGTCTAGAAAACACTTGGCTAGTATAGTCACTATTATCTAGCATAACTGAACTTCCCCTATCCCACTCCACCTCCAATAACCCAAATAGCTAAGAGTTAACTATGGCTGTAAAAATAGTTAATGCCTCAAAAATGTAAACTGCCCCTGTCTTCTGTTCTCAGAGCAGATGCAGAAAACAGTCCACTCAATTTTAAGAACATTCTTCAGGCAAAAGCCATGCTAAAATCAATACTTTGGTTCCAATTTCAGGATCTGTCCTAGTCTTGAGGTAGTATGAATGTTTAGGCTACTGAAAATATTCTGTAATCAATAAGAAAAATTTGTACCAAAAAATGGTGACCCATAATTACATTCGTAGTCTATGTTAGGGAACACTAAACCATATTTTAATAATTTTGCAGTCTAGAGATTCCATGGCATTATGTACAGTAGATTTGCTTCTCTAAAATTTCATATTCAGCTCTGGTAAGGATTATGTATCATTTGGAAGACATATAGAGAAATGGAAAGGGGATGGTCAGTTTTCTGTACAAGGAATGCCCAGTCAGTCTGGGCTCCTTCATCCTGAAAAGGCGACAAAAGACGAATATGACAGAGGTCTATAAAGCCAGAAGAGGTATTGAAAAGCTGAACATAGAAGAATTGTTTTTTATCACTTCCTAACACCTAGCAAGTGCCAAGTGGCATCAAATAAAACCGTGAGGTAACAGGTTCAAGACAAACCAGCATACATCTTGACACATTGTACAGATCAACCACAAAATGCCTTGTCAGACAACATTATGGACACTAACCTTTATACAGAAGTGGACACATTAATAGTGTGATGGACTTTTGTTCCATTAAACACAAAAAATACCACCTCTGGTTAAAGAAGTCCAAAAGCGTAAATTCTTGTAGGCTGGGAAAGTATTCTGAGAAAGCATGCAAGAATTTTCCCAAGAATCCAGTTCATACTGTTAAAGAGAGCAGGCCAAATGTTGTTTGGCCTCCACGATACTCTCCTCTCCTATTACGATCTCAGGCCAGCACTTTAAAGTCCTATATAAGATCCATGACAGTACTGCTCCAAAAATGCTGTATTTATGGTACCACTGAAAACTGTAATTCTGTATTTGCCATAGATGATACTGGAGAACCCAACATTAACCCTCAGCAACTGTACTGATAAGCATGACAAAGGTACAATAGATGTCTCCAATCAGAAATGTAAAACCTAAGAAGCAAATCTAAAGAAGTGCTGATCTCCAGAAAGTCAGATAAGCAGTAAAAGGAGAGAGAGAAGGAAGAAGGTGGCACGCAACAAAAAAACCCCACAGCATACGAACACAAGCACACCATACACCACCATCACTATTTTCTAGTCAGTCAGTAACATTTAAAAACAAGTTTGATTCCTAGACTACTTTGTCATTGTAATGGTGGTGTATGGTGTGGTCGTGCCCCAGAGTTTTTAAAGGCAAGATAACACAATTACATAAGAGCTATAAGATACAGTTATAAGGTACAGTTGTGTCACTGACTTAAGACAGATAGTGTACAGGCTGCTGCTAAAAGAATAGTCCTGGTCATTCCCCTATATCAGCATTAGCATGGTCAGCTGGATCAGGGAACTGATTTCATTTAGCTGCAAATGAACGGGCGTGGGGGGGAAGAAAACAAAAAAAAAAGTTTTAAATGCTAGTACCATCACAAAGGAGGAGGAAGTAATGCATAGCAAGGACCCTCCCTGCAGTAACAGCATCTTACTGCAGGCTAAGAAAATCACAGAAGCCTATAGTAAAAGCTCAGTAGACGAAAAAACATTAAGATTCCTGACATGAAAGAAAATACAGTATTTTCAACAGCCAAACAAAACACATTTCTTCACATTATTAAAAAGTGCATATTCAGAAAACTGTTACCAAAAAAAAAAAATTTTTAAAAAAAATCTGCAAGAGCAGCAGACCACGTATGAGCTAAGCTATCTGCATATTCAAAACAAAAACTGCATTGGTTTTCTGGCCACAAAATTAAGTTACTATTGACAGAAGGCAGAAAGAAGCATAACTTTATATCACTGACATAAAATCAGTAATTTCTTCACTTGTTCTGAACAGGTAAGACCATTTAATTATTTCTATACTTACAGAAAGACTCCATAATTACATATTTCTAAAGCTGTATCCTTACAAGGTTTTATCAGAAATGCTTGTTTCAAAGTTTTTTCAGGAATACCTTCATCTTTTTACCATTTCGCTTGGCAACAAATGGTGTAACAGCATTAAAAAAAAATTCCAAGTATTAACCTACTGTAAATATAATTTTAAACTGACAAGCCCATTACATGACTTTCAACAATATTTCCTTAAGTCTGAAACTCTTCTGGCACAATCCCTTGTTAGGCAACTCTTTGAAAGGAAAGCTTCAGGTTAAGAATGTAGATTTCTGAAATACAATACCAGTCAGAGTTCTTTTTTTCCAAGGTTCACATCCTTCTGTAAAGCTGTTCTTTAAAGACCATTTGGTCCATAAAGTAGAATTTGCTGTATTCAACACCATGGACAAGACCTATTACTGAGGGAGGGATGCTTCCAGAAGGTGAAGTACAAATTCTTAAGACTTATTTGCTACTAAATTTTCACTATGAAGATTTCACTGATGAAAACAGTTGGTCGTACTGAAAATTGAAAATTATAACAGGGACAATATTGTTCATACAGTGTGACATCTTTGCTATTTAAACTTAAATAATTTCAATCTTATACAGTAACTCACTTTCAGACAAGAATTCATAATTACAATTAATACAGCTGTAAGAGAGATAACTAAAAGGATGCTCAGATCTTTGATGCATACTGTGAAAATATGTTCTCAAGACTTTATGCAAAAAAAAAAGTTTCAAAATTACCATACAGAATAGCAAGGCATTCCCAAACACTACTTTAAGTATAAAAACAGAAAACACTTCAGCCACTTCACACTTCACAAATTTTACTGTATATTTCAAGAGGTTTGAGGCTTTCTTATTACTTATTTCCTAAAAAAGCAAGTGTCCAGCTGCCATTTTTGAAGAAATTAATTCAACACTGCTATGTATCAACCTGTCTGAGAGGAAGAATAGTTCTAAGGCTAAAGTACTGGGCTGGCACTTAAGATGGTAGCTTCACTGACACACAGACAACACAGACTTAATACAATCTCCCAACATTCACAAATGACACTAAGTTCACTAATGTGTTTGAGATAAGCAGACACTAGAATGGTGAATGCTAGAGCGTATGCTGTACATTGCAGCCAAAGTGTAGACAAGGGAAAGGGTAGATCAGCCCGAACACAAGCAGGCTCTGCGTTTCTGCAACTCAACTGCAACAGAAATAGCAAAGCTGCATCAACTGCGTCAATACTAAGCTAAATTAAGATATAAATTAGTTAGAATATTACGTATGCAGCATAAAATCTCCAGAATACAATTTACACAGAGTGTTCAAATGAAACCCAGAATCCTGATCATACTTTCTCCTCTCACAAGAGAAAGGGCTCAGTGTCAAAATGACCAGGCTATTTACAGATAGATGATGGACAGGAATTTAGAAGTATCTAGTAAAGAGAGAAAAGGAATTCCAAAAGTGATTGAAAAGTTAATTGAAATTTTTCATTCATATTACCCGTTAGTATAAACACAACCAAGACAGGATATTCAGTGGAGACTTTCTCTAGCAGTTCTACTCAGCAGGAGCAGAACTGATGATAACCTGAACGATGAAATTAGAAAGATGCAAGGGACAGGTAATCACTACTGCAACTTTTCAGCTCTAACTTCTTTGTTACAGAACATATTAGTAAATCAGGCATGAAAGAGCTATCGTTTGAAAATGCACTGGTGCATTCAGTCTGGGCTACAGACATAAAAATTCCATTTTCCTCCATGAATAGTACACTTTCAACAGCTTTCTATAAATGTTCAAACTCCAACTGAATACACATAAAATTTATCCTTTTTCCCCATTAAAATCTTATGTTAAAATGCAGTTTCTCCTTCATTGTAACTCTTTCTAAAAATAAAACTAAGAATAATGATTGATGTTCGCAAACTAAATTCAACTTAAATTGGACAACTAAAGGTTACTGTAAAATAGTTCTCTTTCCAAACCAGCCAGTGTTTTCATTTATGTTTTGGATCCCTATAATTTTTTTTCACAGTCTTATTTCCCTCATACAAAATAAGAGAGTTCACAAAAAAAAAGAATAAAACTTACCCCCATTATCTGTTCTCTTTAAAGCACCATCCTTATGAGGGCATAATTCACATCTCTAGGGAAAAAAGCAAAAATAAAATAAAAAAATGGAATGATCATAGGAGCATTGAAAAAGAAACCACACACATCAAAACTGTTAGCTGTCATTAAGGAAGCAACCATTCCTTCAAAGTGAATGGGTGTGTTTTCCCTTAACCTTTACTTGAATATTGTTAGTTTGTCACAAAAGAAGCCTTCTCCTTCAGATCTTGAAACTATATTTAAACTATTCGCAGTTCCACCTCCAAGTTTTTATTCCTGGATTCCACACCCTGGAATTCTGGAGACAAGCCTCCAAAAACCATAGCGTGGGGTAGACTCGCTTGATAAGAAACTTGGGCACAGTCCAAAGACTCCCTATCCTATTTCTTTCTCCTAGAATCTCTGTATTCACCAAGGTGGTCAATCACAAAGACGTGCCATGGATATATTAGCATAGGTGCACATACTATAGCTGACTTCACAGTCTCTGCTTACTCTCACTTACGCTGAGAAACCAAAAATAATCTCACTTTCTGTCTCAGAAAAAAAAGAGGTCTAAAGTTGACTCATCCTCGAAATTCACCAGACTGCCTGTCTGGAAACATGCAGTTTGACATCATATTCTTTGAGATACACCAGGATCACAACAGTACAACCTTTCTGCTATTGCTGCCTCTATCAAGTTCCTAATATCAAGTTCATCTCTAAGTGTTCTAGAGCAGTGTGAACCAATTTCAAATCAGTTCAGAGATGACAGAAATAGAACAGGTTTGACACACATTCCACTTCAACTGCTCCAAATGACATGCAAAGGAACACCATTATAGGAGACCCTATACCTAGGAATCACCTTATTAAAACCTTTATGAATTCCCAGATCAGGAACAACTCAAAGCATACCAATCTAATAAGCTTTTTAAGAAACTGAAGAACAGTCTCATCATCAGATGCAAACATAACACCACATCCTTCAAATGGAGAGGAACATCTGGCATCAATACAGATCTTCTCTGTGTTCCCTGAACAGTACTATTCTCCTTTACCAGCTAACTGGCAAGTCAGCAGATAAAGGAGCCTATGATGCTGGAAGTGACTCAGAAACAGATTGTTCAAACTTATTTGAGGAATGAGAAATTCCATTCCTGAAATTCATATGGCTGAAGTATAACTTGAGGACTATCTATTCCTCTTAACCTGTAAGAAAATTGATATTAGCAGCTGTCATGGTTTAGCCCCAGATGGCAACTAAGCACCACACGCTCGCTCACTTCCCCTCCCCCTGGGGGGATGAGGGAGAGAAGCAGACAAGTAAAAGTGAGAAAACCCATGGGTTAAG